CCCGCCTGTGCCATCCGGTCATAATCGCTACACGATAAAAACTATTCTTTTGTGTGGCGTTATTACAGCAAAGGCTGAGCGGAAGGAGAAATAACATGGTTCAGGCACTGTGAGACTATTAAGAAAGGTCACATGCAGTGCAATAATATTCCAATCATGTACTGCCAAAACTTATTTTACAGTACAGATGACTAAAGAAATTACGAGTTGGTTCGTGTAGCGTATTTGGCCGTGCTCAAAGAGAGATAGACTAATGCTTAGTCTCTGAATATATATAATTTTGATAGTAACAAACAAGCCCATTTAAATTGAAAAGGATCTACTGGGAGACTAGAGATTCAGAACCTGTGGAAATCTAGACTTGCTTTATTTAGGGCTTTAGCACTGCAGAGAGGGCTTGGCAGCAGGGAAAATAATGTGGTTCAGGAACTGTGAGACAGACTACAAGAGAGATAAAGTGCTATTCTGTTGGGACAGCTAGGGACACTTGCAAGGACAAAGGGGCAGCTCATCGCCCTTTTGTTCACCACTCACAAGATTTGCCAACACCGCAGACAAAGCGTAACTGATACTGGCAACAAGTGCGAGCGCAGCTTAATAAGCCATGTTAGCTTGCGTAATACCGCTTTCTTAGTCAGGCTCTTTTGATGATAAGAATAATGAGGTCACGTGAATGTTGATTTCAAACGTACTAAAATGTGTGAAAATGAAATTACATGAACCAAATAATTCACATGATGGAAACAAATGATCATCTTGCTTGAGCACAGGTAACATGAAGGTGTATGAACCGTTCATATACATACCCCTGAAATCCGGTATGATACATAAATATCTAAGGTGTGTAAACATTTGCACATGTGAAAATTTACAAGTGTTTCCCCACCTAAGTAAATTTACATGTTTCCAACCTGGGTAAACTTAGAACGAAATCGGAAATTTCAGCACCCATTGAAATTCAAAGGAATGCATCGGAAATACTGTATGATCATGTATTTACTGGGGTATCTGTTTTGCAATTCATGTTTGGAAATACCTGACAATCCGGTCATGGCATACATGAACGAGGTACTTGTGCATACGAAAATGTACGATGAGCATATGTTTCAAAGGTATAGATTCATATGAAATATATGCCCGAAGTTAGGAAATATCTGAAAACATACGTAAATCCGGTCATGGCATGCATTTCCTACTGTATTTAAGTTTATTTAATGGTTTACTATCCGGTTTTTGGTCCTGTGTTTAAAATTAAAATTCATTTTGTAAATACCATTTTCATAAAAAAAAATAAGGAATTGAAATTCAGTCTAACCATAGTTGTTTGTGATGTCTATTTTCACTTTCACACGAGAAAATGCGGATCGGCTGAAAAGTAGGTCATTGTCTGAATAGGTTAAGACTCATGTTTCGGTTTGTCTCAATAATACTAACTATCAGCCCTCTGGGAAGCTACCATATAAGTTATTCCAAAATAATTTACGTATTTATATTACAATATTAAATAAAAAAGTTCGAATGAATTAATGCAACATTGCATTAAATCGACTCTCGCCGGCCGAACATTATTTCAAGCGAATCCCATTGAGTTATAAATCAGGATAAATCACAAATGGGCTTCACACATTGCACCCATGTGGGGAATCGAGCCCGGGTCTACAGTGACAAGCGAACGCTTTAACCACTATTCCTAGCAACCACCATATCACCTCTAGCAACCAAAAACCAAACTAATATTTTTCAATACATTATATTCAGGTATTTGGCAGATGATAAAGCCATTAACATGTAGGTACAGTTATCTCCATAGCTGAATAGTAAAGATGAATAAGTTAGTGAATAGTGATTGTTTGATTAGCATTCTAAAAGTTGCTCAGTAACAAAGGTTACTGTGGATCACCAGCTGATAACGGTGTAAGAATCATCACCGAAACGTCTCTCTATGCAATAAACAAAAAGTTGTATCCATAAAGATTACCTTTGTAATTGATTGAACTGTGTCAGAAATGCTTCAGACATATCATGGCAACATTTTAAAAAAAAGTCTGTGCCAGACAAACCAGTGGTTGATAGCATGAACAATGATCCACGGGTAGGAGAAGATGTCAGCCAGGCTGAAACACACTCCATTCCTCGATCCCATTATAGTGCTAACAGCGACCACATCGACCCCCGGGATGCAAGGGGGACAATACTGGCAATGTATTAATGTATTAGTACGACCACAGAGACCATGGTTCAGGGAGAGCTGGTTTACGTCATGGACACGCGGGGGTTACATGGCAGGACATACGTGACACCTCTGAGAAAACTGGTTGTCAACTCTGCTGTGAAAACAGCTTCAGGTGAAGTCACAATGTGGACCTGGCGGGTCAAAATCTCTATAGTACCTCATCAATTATATGTAAAAATATAGATTTTCCAGGTTCTATTCCTTGAACAAACGTGAACCTTACACAGTGGTTATCATTCACACATAGTGCTAGCTCCATCCAGCCGTCTCGGGAAATATATAATGTATAATGTGGTCGCATGTGCACGAGCCATGTGAGCTAGACAATGGATCCTCGGTGGTGCTATTAGTGGACTGACCATGTGGAAACATCGGACGAACAAACTAGGCTAGTTGCTTCCCAACTACAAACTCTGTTACCGCCATAATAGGTTCTGTGATGTCATGGCAGGGCGGTGGGGTAGCCTAGTGATTAAAGCGTTCACTCGTCACGCCGAAGACCCGGGTTCGATTCCCTACATTGGTAGAATGTGTGAAGCCCATTTCTGGTGTCCCCCGCAGTGATTTTGCTGGAATAACGCTAAAGCCGGCGTAAAGCTAAACTCAGTAAGTCAGTGACATCATAGCGAAGACTTGCTGTTCGTCGTTGACGCACGAGCAACACGTGTCCAGTGGTGATGTTCTATGTTTCTGTGATAAGCTAACATCATAATGACTGGCTATACCAAGCGGTATTTCTCTCCTGATGTGAAGGCCGACATATTGGCCATAGTTACCTTCTCACCATACTGTTCTTAATACATGAATTATTTCCAAATGAAACTAGTGTTCTTACTATATATACTACTTACGTTTTATACTACTACTACCACTACCACTGCTGCTACCACTACCACTACTACTGCCACTACCACTGCCACTACCACTGCCACTGCTGCTACCACTACTACTGCCACTACCACTACCACTGCCACTGCTGCTACCACTACCACTACTACTGCCACTACCACTGCTGCTACTACTACCACCACTACCACTACCACTGCTACTTCTACTGCCACTACCACTGCTGCTGCTACTACTACAACAATTGCAGCTGCCACAACTATTGCTGCTTCTTCACTACTACTACAGCTGCGGGGTCCCTCAATTACTATTGCTGCTGGTACTACTACGAGTGCTTCTGCTACGGACTCTTACTTGGCACAACTTTGAGATACGATCACATTGCACATGATTACTTTCAGAACGGAGTATATCACGGATCATCAGTTCTGGCAGGTACACACAACCGTCCACCCAAGACAACGTCCGCCGTTTTGCCATTTCTCTCTATGTATAACCGATGAATTAATCGCCACGTTTCAACAGTGTCATATCCATTGATACAACAGCATCATATCCATTGATACAACATTGCCATATCCACTGATACAACAGTTTCATATCCATTGCTACAACGGTTTAGTATCCAGTGGTACAACCGTTTCAGCAGAATTTCTGCAGTCAGTGGCATGTCCTGAAGCCTTCGAAATCGTGTGGCCCATTGGCTACGGTTAAACTACAATTCATGTTTAAGTCCGCCAGGAATTATGTGCGACGTGTGTGTGTGATTATGTGTGACGTGTGTGTGTATATATATAAGTTTTTTGTGAAACATGGCTAGAGACCGACAAGGGATCATAGTCAGGTCAAATAGGGGATTCGAGCCCACAACCAGCTATACCTGTTTTTCTTCCCAAACAACAAAAACGTAAAACTGAAATTCCAGCAAGTTTGTCGGTGAAAAATATATAGATCATCTGGCAGTTACAATCAACCTATATGTAGCGGGGACACGTAAAGACATCCAGCAGTGTTCATGTTGAGGGCTCCAGTAGAATACCTGGAGTCCCGAACCACATGGCGCGCACGTCCATGTGTTCAACTTAAATCTTATTTCGTTGCAGACATTGGAAATTGCGTTCGCAAAGATATTTCCGAAACACAAGACCTAAAGGAAATACAAGTCATACAACAAGATTGGAAGCTGTTTACATCGTATAGTTAACTAAATAAACTATTCTAAGTATTTTTAATCCTCGCGTAACTACTGATCGTCAGTGATTAGGAGGCAGATGATAATCTGGGTGGATTATCATCGGGTCTAATTCGTGTGCAACAATCTTATAATGAATGTTAAATTTGTTGTCTTCACTAAATGGCGGGCATATACGGTAAAACAATCACATGATTAGGACATATGCAATGGAAGACAAACCATGCTCCCAAAAGTAAACCATTTCCCCACTCATGTTCAATAAAATATAAAGTAATTTAATCGAGAGTCACAGCAGCACATATAAGATATTTACCACATACCAGACTCGTTAACTAATGTGTTTTGTAATCACATACGACTTTAATGTCGACCAGGTGTGTGACCACGCCGTGATGTATCTGAAATACTGTTCAAAGCAGCTTTAAACCCAACTCACTCACTAAGTCACATGTAAGACCCGGTTTTCTACCCGTCAAGATCCGGGTTAGAATTCGTCTTCAGCAACCCATGCTTGTCGTAAGAGGCGAGTAACGGAATCGGGTGGCAAGACTAGGTTGGCACATGTCATCTTATCCCAGTTGCGTAGATCGATGTTCATGAGGTCGATCACTGGATTGTCTGGTTCAGACTCAATTATTTACAGACCGCCGCCATATTGCTGGAATATTGCTGAGTGCGGCGTTAAACACCAACCAACCTGGTTTTGTCTCCAACAATAACACTTACCACTCTCCCATAAGGTCTCCGGACGCTGAAGGCCCCTGGCACTGTCCAGTCATGGCCGCCAACACGACCCTTCCGGAGACAGTAGTCGGGGCCGCTGATGGTGTCCACGCTGAGACCGCGACTACAAACCAGAAATACATCAAACATAAACATTATCAAATCTACAAAAACAATTCTCGAATATACACAAGGAATTGTCAACTTGGGTGGAAATCTAAACAATACACAAAGAACTAACTCGAAGAAGCACATGTAGAGAGATGATCATATGTAGTGATGTGATGGTGTACAGTGATGTATCCATATGTGGTAATATAACTACATCAATGGTTGCCGTGAATGATCCTTGTAGTATTACTGCAAAAGTCATAACCCCACCATCCCACCCCTCTACCATATACAAACCCAACCAAACATCCCACCCGTACCCCACAAAAAATAATATGCCAAACAACAACCCCACCCACCCCACCCCCACACACACACAGACACAGACACAGACACAGACACACACACACACAAACAAAAACTACAAGCTTTATGACCACGGTTCATGTTTTCCTCCAACTTGACTTCCGGTGTATATTAAAAAAATATAGGTTCAAATGCTCGATTGATACTTAAATGTCAGTTCCAATATTACGATGTTTCTTTTGCCTTTCAGTATATATTGGGCCAGACAATCCAGTGACTGGCTACACAAGTAATAGTAATGCCTCTTGTCTGTCGTTTGGCCGCCATCACTACACGTGTAGTAGCCCAGCATACCTCAACATGCGACAGCGCTGTTCCTGAAGACGCGGAGCAGCTTCATCTAAATCCTTAACGTCTCTGGCGCTCCACAACCGTTCCGCCGCCGCTGACGCCCTTGGCCTGCAAATATAGAGTGTGTCTGTAGGTGGGAGAGATCACTGTTACTCACTAGCAATATTCCAGCAACATGAGAAAATAGTTTATTATATTGACAACGGTATAAGAATCTACACCGAAACGTCGCATCATAATACGCACAGAGAACTTAGTTAAGCATCCCTGACACATCTCATGATTGAATGAGCCCCGATCTTAACCCTTTGTGGCATATCTGGGACATGATTGGTCGTCGTGTGCAACAAAGGGATCCTCCTGTACAGAACCTGGCCCAGTTGGAGGCTGCTTTACACGAGGAATGGCGTAGACTGCCCCTTCATAGGACGAGGAGGCTGACAGGGGGTATGAGGAGGAGAGTGCTGCTGCTACAGTCACACAGAGGTTAAACTCGGTATTGACCTTGAATCGTGTAAGACACGCAGATGACATTTTGAATGTTCACCAATAAAATCAACATGAAACATACTTGTACAGACATGGGTTTGTTTAAAAGATCAGTGTGTTTTATTTAAAATGAGCAATTATTATCATCATAAAATCAACATGGATTCCAATAATTTTGTCGTTTTGTTTGAGTCAAAGGATCATACGGGTCAGAAAAACTCATATTTGTCGATCGTGGTCACCACGAGATGTTTTATGTACGTGTTGAAAACCTATCACTGCAAAAATACAGGGGTTCTTTGTGTACACAATAATGAAGTTGTTATCCATACAGTGGATGTACACCTGGCTCTAACTGTTTAACCAAATGGTACTGGTTACAACTGAACAAAACCACGTACCACTAATTGTTCTTTCATCGACCAGTACTTCTACCCGAATAAAGCATATACAGCCAAGGTCCTCAAGTACGAATGATCTCAGTAATCCACAGGTCACGGCTCAATGCTTTGCCTTTATCCAGATAACAATGGAAGACTTCCGACTCAAAGACAGAAGAGCTCATCTGGGACCATGTCAACAGGAGCGTATTGGGATCAGAGACAGACAGACAGACAATATATTTACGTCTCACGCATATCTTATCTTGCATTTAGCCTGTAATCTATGTCTCTATCCATCCATTCATCCATCTCTTCATTTTATCTGTCCATTCTGAAATGCTGAATGTATGAAGTACCTGCCAAAGTCGGGGCGGTGGGGTAGCCTAGCGGTTAAAGCGTTGGCTCGTCACACCGAACACCCGGGTTCTATCCCCACATGGATACACTGTATGAAGCCAATTTCTGGTGTCCCACGCCGTGGTATTGCTGGAATATTGCTAAAAGCGGCGTAAAACTATACTCACTCAGCTGCCAAAGTCTTTCTCTACTCGACCCAGTATGGTCAAATTGCATGCTCTCCGCCAGTGTAATAAATTTGGTCTCATTAAATAATAATATGAAATGTGTTAAATCCAAATTCTCCTCGCCATTATGTGAAAATTGTTTGTTCCTGAGATGTGTATTAGTACCTCACATGCCAAGTATATCGGCCTGAGCGAAATGAAGTTCTGTTCTGCTCTGTCGCTGTTACCCAATGAGGAGCCTCAAGGAGCTTCCTGGGTCTTGTACCAGCCCAGTTTATCTATCTGTATCTACCCGTATATCTATTGGTATCTAGCCAAATGTCTAGCCAAATGTCTAGTTGTATCTACTGTGGTACTGGTTGTACACCGTCTGGTGCGAGGGATTGGCAATATTTGATAGGACTGATGCATTCATATATATCTGTGATATTGTGTGTTAGCGGACTTGCACAATACAACAGCCATTAGCCCGACAAGTACATCGTCACACATATGGTTGTACATTGCTGTGTAAGTCACTAATCGTGAACACGATGTAGATCCCCATTTCACGTCGCCTCACCCGATGGGATTACCTGAGAAAGTACAATCGATATCACAGCACCCTGACACCAGAGTGCACAAGCACCTTCATCACACTACACAAATACACTGCTATATATCGATAGATCAGCCCGCTTATCACCCAATTCATCAATACCATTATGTTTTACAATGTGTAGCGTTGTCGCGGTAGACACTGAAACCACTTTAGACAGTATTGACGTGTATATTGTTTAGTCAGCCCAGATTCATTGTGTGGTTATTTATCCACGAGCTGCTGGGCCGAGTCTGTAAACCCTTTTATCGTACAAAGTGTAGCATCACGTTATCTGGAAAAATCAGACCCGCGTTCATGGTAGATCTGTTGAAAGTCCTGCACATTTGCGCAATAGTTAACCTCTGATACCGCCCCACTGACTCGTGTAATGTAACAATGGCCATGTTATTTAAACATCACAAATCGCCCCATTTATTAAGTAGATTGTTAATTAACAAACATACTAATATGTCCACTGTTAGTTTCTCCTCATAATACCGGGGCGGAGGGGTAGCCTAGTGGTTAAAGCGTTCGCTCGTCACGCAGAAGACCCGGGTTCGATTCTCCACATGGGTACAACGTGTGAAGCCTATTTCTGGTGTCCCCCGCCGTGATATAACTGGAATATTGCTAAAAGCGGCGTAAAACCCAACTCACTCTTCTCATAACACGAAACTTTTACTATTTGGGTATCTTTTTCATGCCTGGGAAAGTCTGTAACATCATTCCTTACCAGAGTCGGGTCATGAGATTCTCGTTGTCGACGTACTCTGCCCAGAGACACGCCTCTCCCCCCCCAGCACACGCGTCTCGTCCACGCCCTGGCCTGCAAGGGTAGAAAGCGTCGGTCGTCTCAACAACACATTCATTAAAATACATTTCTGATTTCAGTGACCGAATGATGTTTCATGTAAAGCATTCTAGCTGCTTAACAGAGCCTTGTATACTATGTACCCAAGATTGAGTAGCGTTATTCAGTAAACTTATCCCGATGGGATCTATATGGTCCTATATTGCAGATTAGACGTTAAATTCTCACCCGCTTGCATACTCTTTCACCCACTATTGGGAGTAAGTATGGGAAGCATAATGCTTCAAGGATGGGTGTGCAGGAAGCCTAATATTTCAAGGACAAATGGGTGAAAAGGAAGCCTGATGCTTCAAGGATGGGTGTGTGGGAAGCCTAATGCTTCAAGGATGGGTGTGTGGGGAGCCTAATACTTCAAGGATGGGTGTTTGGAAAGCCTAATGCTTCAAGGATGGGTATGTGGGAAGCTTAATGCTTCAAGGAGGGTGTGTGGAAGCCTAATACTTTAAAATATGGGTGTGTGGGAAGCCTAATGCTTCAAGGATGGGTGTGTAGGAAGCCTAATACTTCAAGGATGGGTGTTTGGAAAGCCTAATGCTTCAAGGATGGGTATGTGGGAAGCTTAATGCTTCAAGGAGGGTGTGTGGAATGCCTAATGCTTTAAAGATGGGTGTGTGGAAAGCCTAATGCTTCAAATATGGTCGTGTCGAATGCCTAATGCTTCAAAGATGGGTGCGTGGAATGCCTACTGCTTCAAAGATGGTCTGTGGAAAGCCATAGCTTCAAAGCTTTAAAGCTTCAAAGTCGTGTGGGAAGCCAAATGCTTCAAAGATGGTGTGTGGGAAGCCAAATGCTTCAAAGATGGGTGTGTGGGAAGCCGAATGCTGCAGGAAGCCAAAGATAGGTGTGTGATTGGAAGCCAAATGCTTCAAAAGATGCTTCAAAGGGTGTGGGAAGCCAGGAAGCCATAGCTTCAAAGATGAAAGCCAAATGCTTCAAAGATGGGGGTGTGGGAAGCCTAATGCTTCAAGGATGGATGTGCAGGAAGCCATAGCTTCAAAGATGGGTGTGTGGAAATCCTAATGCTTCAAAAATGGGTGTGTGGAAAACCTGATGCTTCAAAAATGGGTGTGAGGATAGCCCAATGCTTCAAAAATTAGTGTGCGGATAGCCTAATGCTTCAAAAATGAGTGTGCGGATAGCCTAATGCTTCATAGGCGGGTGCATTGGAAACCCCTCATGTTACAAGGATATGTGAAGCCTAATGCTTCCCGCAATGGCTTGTCATACCAAGCACATGCTAATACAATGAACCGTGGTCTTTGAGTTTCTAACATGGGCATGCCTGACAAATTGTCAGAAGCGGCACTCACTCACTCACTCATTTACCTGGGAACGCGGGATCACAGCTGTAATACTTGTACCAGTCCGGCCCAAACGACACCATGTCCAGGTACCAACACGCGGAGTATAACACCCGGTACCCTCTCTGGATCGCCTCCCGCATCAGCAGAGCGTCCCCCATCCAGATCTGGGCCACTGTGTCGTTCACCATCTGAACACACACATGTCACAGCGTTGTATGGATGAGAGCGTGTTTTATGCCGCAGTAACAGAAATTAGTATGTATTTTATTAATGATCTCGTTTGAATAACCACAGCGTCACTAACGAACACTGAGAGCAAACAAATCATGTTTTCATAGTTGTTATATGTAAATATGTTATTTCGCAGATCTTGAACTGCTAGGCAAATGGAAGTGTGCACAAATGTTTGATGGCGGCTAGAAATGACTGAAACAAGAACTTGTAATATACTTCCCATCAAAAGTGTAGACGCACTATTGTAAATATAGCCACTTACTTCAGGCAACTGTTCTAAACTAAATTTTGCAAAATCTTCCATACTGTTAAAATGTACTGTTTACACATGAACTGATGTATTGTAAAACAAATTCGTACAGTTGAAATGCTTATTGTCATGAGTTCAAGAAATGATAAAACCCAGTGAAAATTGGCGAATTCTTAACAAAACTTTACAACAAAAAGCATTACAGTTGTGGTATGGACATTAGGCTTCCAGTGTTGAGCGACTATTTTTCAACCCATCGTATTGATCCAGTTTTCAAATGTACATTTTCCCCCCGTTAGGTAACATCCTGAAACATGCTAACAGAGGGACATGTGTACTTGAACCTATTGTCGCTGTTAGATGTACATAATGTAACAGAGCCATATCGCAACTGAGAAATCTGATCTTGCATCAATCATCCTGTGATATTTCCGGGTTAGTCGCTCCCTCCCCCCTATCCGAGGCTTGCCCTGTTTCACCCTGTGGTTGATATACTAATGGAAATGAATATGGGAACATGTGAAAGTACAAGATTTCCTATATTCTTTTCCAGTTCTCTTCACATGCTTTGTTTTGCACTATGGGCGAAACTTTGGAATTAAATGGAGGAACACTTGAACCTTCTTGTGTTCCCTTATTAGTTTCCATTAGCATATAATTATAAGTGTTTCACCCTGTAACTGACCTGTTTTAAGATCAATTCTATCTTTCACCCAAAAGTAGACGTGTGTGACACCCTAACGGACATGTGTTTCCACTGATACCTTGATCTCTGTTTTAGTAGATGCTTCTTGCCACAGAAGGAACTTGACTCCCTGCACGCGCGATCTGCTGACCGCCTTGACGTCCTTCATGAATCTGTGGATGGAAGTATGAAGACAGTGGCCAAGTCAGAACTAGTGGTCCGAGGTATTCAGTGCGTTAAACAGTGCGTCTCATTCAAACAGGAGAGTTTGTACAGCACATACTGTGATGGCCAATAGTCAAGGGAGATAACCACATATTGTGATATCCAATTTTCAAGGGAGATAATTATATATTGTGATGGCCAATAGTCAAGGGAGATAACCACATATTGTGATGGCCAATAGTCAAGGGAGATAACCACATATTGTGATATCCAATTTTCAAGGGAGATAATTATATATTGTTAAGTCCAATAGTCAAGGGATATGACCGCGTAGGTCGAGAGACACTATACTACTTGCCTATTCTGGAAATACTGCCACAGAATTAGCGCATCGACTGGTGGATTTCGGCGCTTGGTCACAGTATTTTTAATCTTCTTCTCCAGATTCTCCAGGAGCCCTTTCTCACTGTTCACTAGCTTCGTACCGCTTTGCATCACCTCGTTGTTCGCCGTCCTGTTCAGTTCAAGATCAATGTACCTTTCTCTATTTGTGTCTCTCCATCTCTAGTATAGTCGACTCACGAAACTAAATCTACCTTAACTGATCACATGTTATCACAGAGACCTTGTACATGAAGTTGTGTAGCCTGTGCTACCTCTGTACCTCCTGTAACGGTCAAATATTGTCAAAATGAAAAGTTTAAAATAACAACAACAACAACAACAACATATATTAATTTAAAAAAAACCCAGTACTTACCAACAATCAGACGGAACTTCATCCCCACCAGCGTGAATGTACTGGTCCGGAAAAAGGTCAAGGATTTCCCGGAACAGTTCCTTAAGGAAAGCATAGGTGGAGTCTTTGCTGGGGTCAATGGGGCCTACCATTCCGTAGGTAGGATCATCATCATTATAGCACTTAGTAACCAGCTCTGGCCGGCCGTGTCCCCAGGCGTACGTGTGACCTGGATAGAACAACAAGTTGACACCGGATTTAGTCAACTGAAAAGGACAACAATATCAGTTTCCTCATCCAGCTATGAAACATATACAACCTTGCTTCACATTTCTTTCAAAACTAACCGGTGGGGCGCTAGTATTAATTTTCTTTACAAAAAGTTACAAATCTGTAAAAAAGGAAACGAGCCTCGTCGTATTAAGTATTACACCCTCTTTTTGAAATGAGGTGAACAAGACCCAGACCATAGCCACGCCTCTTTGGCTTAAGGTACAAGACGCAGGCTACAGCTACGCCCCTTCGACTTAAATTACGAAACACAGATCACAGCTACGCCTCTTCGCCTTAAAGTACGAGACACAGATCATAACTACGCCCCTTCGCCTTAAAGTACAAGACACAGAACAGTTACACCCGTTAAAGTCCGAGACACGGACCACAGCTACACCCCTTTGGCTTGAGTGAGTGAGTAAGTTTGGTTTTACGCCGCTTTTAGCAATATTCCAGCAACATCACGGCGGGGGACACCAGAAATGGGCTTCACACATTGTACCCAAGTGGGGAATCGGACCCGGGTCTTCGGCGTGACGAGCCAACGCTTTAACCACTAGGCTACCCCACTCCCCACCCCCCTTTGGTGTGAAGTACAAGACTCGGACCATAGCCATGACACAGACCACAGCCATGACACAGACCACAGCCATGACACAGACCACAGCCATGACACAGACCACAGGTCCAGGTCAGTGACACCGCCCCTGGTCCAGGCCACATAAAGGGGGGAGAGGTTTTGTGTACGGGTTCTTGGAGGTGGGCGGGGAATGGGGGTGGGGATATTTACTGACACCAACTGTGGTCTATGATCAATCTATGATCAATCACAACGTATAACAGGTGGAGGTCGGCCGGAGACAGGGTAGTGTGTAAGTGGCTATGATTTGCAGGTGATAGATAGATACAAGTGATCGAACTCTCACAGTCACGAGGCCGTTGCGTAATGCAGTCGGGTGGAACCTGAGAAAGTCTTCACAAAGCCCCCGAGTCCATAATGGCAGATACCCAGAGACGGAGACACATCCATTTGTACGACAACAGCACCATGTCGCCCTGATCTCAAAACATAGCCATCTGGTAGAGTTACCTGTTATGTCCTTTCAGTGTATTTGTTTTGCTGTCTGAATTTGTTTGTTATGCCTCAGTACATTTAGATACTGCCTGACATGCATGTCTGTACTTTTATAATCAATGTCACAGTTGTCTACGAACCGTGTATAGAATTGATGAAGTCATTAGAGAGAAATTCTTTTGACAAGAGAGAGTACAAAAAGTCATATGCAAATGTGTAAATATGGTTGCGACTATGAAAATTAAACATAGCCCTAATGACTCCTACTGGCTCGTTGTAAGGCAAGATAGCAACATTGGCAGACATCATTTCCAGAGATAACATATAGGTAGTAACATCGACTTGCACCATGTCCCCTGATATCATTGTCAGATATAGCATATAGATAGTAACATCGACAGACACCATGTCCCCTGATATCATTGTCAGATATAGCATATAGGTAGTAACATCGACTTGCACCATGTCCCCTGATATCATTGTCAGATATAGCATATAGATAGTAACATCGACAGACACCATGTCCCCTGATATCATTGTCAGATATAGCATATAGGTAGTAACATCGACAGGCACCATGTCCCCTGATATCATTGTCAGATATAGCATATAGATAGTAACATCGACAGACACCATGTCCCCAGATATCATTGTCAGATATAGCATATAGGTAGTAACATCGACAGACACCATGTCCCCTGATATCATTGTCAGATATAGCATATAGATAGTAACATCGACAGACACCATGTCCCCAGATATCATTGTCAGATATAGCATATAGATAGTAACATCGACAGACACCATGTCCCCAGATATCATTGTCAGATATAGCATATAGGTAGTAACATCGACAGACACCATGTCCCCTGATATCATTGTCAGATATAGCATATAGATAGTAACATCGACAGACACCATGTCCCCAGATATCATTGTCAGATATAGCATATAGGAAGTAACATCGACAGACACCATGTCCCCTGATATCATTGTCAGATATAGCATATAGATAGTAACATCGACAGACACCATGTCCCCTGATATCATTGTCAGATATAGCATATAGGTAGTAACATCGACAGGCACCATGTCCCCAGATATCATTGTCAGATATAGCATATATATAGTAACATCGACAGACACCGTTTCCAGAGACGTAGCTAGTAACATCGACAGACCCCATTTCCAGAGATATAGATAGTACTCCGTTGGGGACTATTTGCAACAATGAGCTGATAACAGAATCACTCGGAGGACTTACCTGGAACGTCGAACTCTGGAATGACTCGGATGCCTCTGAGTCTGGCAAACTCGACAATATCCGCAATGTCTTCGTGTGTGTAGATGTAGGAAGGGTGGTACGCTCCCTGGTGATGTACAGATATCACATATATACCTTTAAACACAATTCGAGTCAGTCCAAGCTCGATACAGCCATAGTTTACAAGGTTACTCCCACAGTCAAGAAATATCGTTAATTCGAAATCCTTCAAATATACATATCAAATTATCCATATAAGATCTATACCGGACGAATGTCGAGATTACTGAGAGAGAAGTAACAGTAAAGCTGTACTGAATAGAGTGTACTACCGCATGACCCCTGTGTGACCACGCCCACCACACATTAAGGCAGGTGCCGACACACAGTGACAAGGCTTGCTGGGCCAGTTTAAGTGTTCTAAGTTAGATATATCTTGGTCCTTATCATAAAAAAACAGCTGATCGTAATGACCCCTTATTTTGTAATATAAGTACTGTTACACAGCAGTGGAAGACTTGAAAATAACTCAACAATGTTCAAAATTCATTATAGTTTTACTTACGGAAACATGAACTTACGATATAATTTGACGGCATTATATAGAACAATATGTCCTAATTTGACATAACACGACACGGTCCTTATGTGACCACCGAAACCACCATATGGTCCAATTGAAGTCCTTATTTGACTTCTTACAAAATATGCCATGATTTGGCACTATAAGAGACATTCGCCGACAGCGTGGCTGCTCTATCGAAAAACAAAACGAAATTTCTGCCATGTTCAGTGACAATGTACACTGTCGCAAGCTATTGCACATTCTGCACGTGGTTCACAAACCGATTTCCACCCTTTTCCAAGTGGTGCGTTCGTGCGAATGTTTGGGTTTGTTCGGACATTCTGTCCATTTCCCCCACAATGATAACTCCATGTCTATCATAATTATACAACAATCATTACAATGTAATATTCAAACAATAAATATTCACATTTCACATGTTCTGAACCTGAAAAATAATAAATGTCAGTTCAAAGTTCACTCTCATTCTTAAAAGAAACACTATGAGTCCTCTCTGAAAAATAACAATCACACATATTCACACATGAAATCAATTCCTTGAAATGCACAAATGTTCCTGTGAATGTCAATAATGAAAATCTCTAACATACATACAATATTGCCCTTTCTGTGTCTCTTCTCTATTCAGTCCTCTTCTCTGTTCGATCCTCTACTGTTTTCCTGTTGCCTGTTCTGTTCCATCCTGTCGTCTGTTCTGTTCCATCCTGTTGTCTGTTCTGTTCCATGTGTCCATTCCAAAGGGCATACTTTTGTAACTAGTCTAGTAACTATGGCTTTGTCTGTTTTAATGTCCACAACTCTCACGTGGCCATCTGTTCCTGGATATGTCCTTGTGATAATCCCAAGCTTCCAACTTCCTCGAGGTGCCTCTGGTGATATAATGGTAACCACGTCATCTTCTTGTAGATCACGGCTGGGTGAAAACCATTTCCTTCTTGTCTGTAATGACGGCAACCACTCCTTCATCCAGCGCTTCCAGACATGACGCACAAGTTCCTGTACTCTTTTCCACCTCTTCATCGGACTGTAAGCCGTGACATCCACAGAATCCGGAGCAAATATCCCCCCACTTTGAACATGTAAAAATGGTTTGGTGTCAAAGGCACATCATCATGTTGGTGAGCACTTTGAAATGTCAGAGGGCGGGAGTTAATTAGACCATCAAGCACCAACAAACGCTGTCACCAGCTCCTCATCTGTTATATCTCCAGATCCCAGAACGGCATATATAGCTCGCTTGGCAGTCTTAATCATTGACTCAAACACTCCACCAAAGTTGGGAGCATGAGGAGGACTCAACTTCCAGATCACCCCTCTATTAGCCAATGATGACTTCACTTTGTCTGTATCCAGTTGAGCAACAAGTTGTTTCAGTTCATTTGCAGCGAAAATGAAATTTGTACCGTTATCTGAAAGAATTTCTTTGGGTAGCCCTCGTCTACTAGCCATCCTGTAGAACGCATTAAGAAAGGAGTCACTGTCCAATGCATGCGACATCTCCAAATGTACTGCTCTTGCTGCTAAGCAAGTGAAGAGGCACAAATAGCGTTTTTGCCTCGACTTCCCACGTCCTTGAATCGTAAGAAATGGCCCAGCATAGTCAACACCTGTCTGCTCAAAAGCTCTAAGCGAGTACCTCAAACGCATCTTTGGAAGTGGCGCCATTATTTGAGCTGTTAATTTTGCCTTTTGTCGATGACAATGTGAATATTCCTGTTCCCATTCGCGGATCTCCTCACGACCAGCAATTATCCAAAAACGAGATGACAAAACAGCAAGCATGTGATTTGTACCAATAACACGATTGCCGTCCTCATGATGTTTCCTGACAATCAACGTAGTCACCCAGTGTTTTCTAGGCAAATTGATTTGGAACTTTGTTTGGAACGGCAAAAAATCTGCATGTCTGAGTCTGCCATCAGACCTAAGCATTCCATCATCACCCAGAACAGGATGAAGATTAATGAGTTTGCTACCTTTGGAAATGGGTTTTCTATTTGCCATTGCCAAATTTTCCTCAGAGAATGCATCTTTCTGTGCATTACAAGGGCATTGTTGAGAAATATGTACACCCATGCAGTAATGCGTGTATACCTATTCCAATCTGAAAACCTAGCAGGTTCCAATAACCAAACTGAATCTGAAATTGTCACGAGTGATACAGCTTTGTTTTTTAGTTCAGCGTTGTGTGATGTTTTGACATTCACTTTTTGTTCTGGCAGATATTCTGGCCCATACATCCAAGATGCAGAGAACAGATTTTGAACTAATGTTCCTCTGGTGAGAATATCTGCTGCATTTAACTCTGAAGGAACTTGCTTCCACTGAGAAGTATCAGTGTGCTCCTGAATGAATGCAACGCGGTTGTCTACAAATGACTTAAAGTAACGACTGTGATTCTTGATCCAACATAATACATTTAGACTATCAGTCCACAGTACTGAATAGGAAGTACTGATTTCAAGGGCACGTGAAACTGCCAACATCAATCGAACTCCCAAAACAGCTGCCATTAACTCCAGCCGAGGAATTGTCACACTCTTTAAAGGAGCAACCCGACTTTTAGCGGCTACTAGATGACTTGAACTGTCACCGTTTTGGTAAGTGTTCACAAAACATAAGACTGCACCATATGCTTCTTCAGAGGCATCAACAAATGCATGCATTTTTGCTGTTCTGATATCAGATTTCACTTGTAAACATCTGGGAAATCGTAATCTAACTGATTTCTCTCTGTGAGCCACTGTGATGCTTCATTTTTCACATCATGATCGAGCACATCATCCCAGTCCATGCCTGACAACCACAGTTTTTGCATGATGATCTTTGATCTTATGTGAAATGGAGCAACAAAACCCAGGGGATCAAACAGTTTGGCTAACTCTCTGAGAAAGCCTCTCTTGGAAAGTGACAAGTCCTCTTCTATGATTGGACGACGAAAACTGAAATCATCATTCTGAGCTAACCAGACAAGACCTAATGTTTTTGCTGATGGTAACTCATCCTTGGCCAAGTTGACCTCAGATGCTTTATCTTCAACAGGTATGTGTTTGAGGACCTCTGGAGAATTTGATAACCATTTTGTTGATCACATTCCAGCTTTTCCCGACAAAGCAGTAAGCTGTTTGTACACTTCGATACCAACATCCACTTCTGGAACAGAATCCATACTATCATCCATGTAAGTGGATTTACAAACAGTGTTTGCAGCTTTTGTGAATAAATGCTCAAATCTCCTTGAGATGCATTCATGCCAAAAACTACTCTCCGAAATTCATATATCTGTGGTATTTCTGATTGGTTTAGTGATCTCCACAAGAACCTAAAGTAGGAACAGTCTTTGGCTGGAATTCCTATTTGTAAATACACTCTCTCAAAAAAGAAACGCAACCCCTGTTTTTTTTGGTAATGTTTATATCAATTTTAACTGGTTATTACATTTGTATTTTTAAAGATAATGCCATGAAATTTGACATGGTGAACCTTAGGTCAGCACGGTATAAGGTAACAGTTAATGCAGGTCAGTATCGAACTCTCAATTTACGCTAGGGGGCGTTGTCTTTAGTATCTCGTTGTAGAGCCACGAGCTCTAATCACAGCAGTGCACCTCCTCGGAACAGAACGAATCAGACGGCGGATGTTTTCCTGGGGGATTGCTCTCCACTCTTCCTGGAGTTCAACCAACGTGTGCGGTTGTGGTGTACGTGCACGAACACGACGATCCAGCTGGTCCCACAGATGTTCGATAGGATTGATGTCTGGCGATCTGGAGGGCCACGGCATCACGTTGACGTTTGAATTCTGTAGGAATGCCACTGTTGCACGAGCTGTATGAGGGCGGGCATTGTCATGTTGAAACAACTCCCTCTGTTGGTCGATGATCGGCAGAAGATGTGGCTGTAAGACGTCATCAATGTACCGTTGTGCCGTCAAATTGCCACGAATGATGACCAAGTCTGACCGTTGGTTGTAAGACATGGCTCCCCATACCATGATGCTTCCTCCTCCAAATCTGTCGACCTGTCGAACGCAGTTCGGTGCAAAACGTTCATTTGCTCGTCTATAGACACGTTGTCTACCGTCACGTCGTTGAAGAAGAAAACGAGACTCGTCACTAAACCAGACTCTTCTCCAGTTTCTTAGGGTCCATCTCCTTACGTTAGTACACCACCTGAGACGTTGGCGTCGATGTTGGCGTTTCAAGACGGGCCCAACAACTGGTCTTCTTGCACGTAAATTTGCCTCATGTAAACGGTTCCTGATGGTTTGGGCCGATACTCTCCTCAAACCTGGCACCTGTGTTGCAGTGATGGTGGGTGTGGCATGCCGATTACGTAGGTGGCTGAGTCGAATAAAGCGATCCTGAGCCGGTGTGGTGATCCTAGGTCTACCGCTCCTGGGACGATCTTCAATTGCATGGAACTGTGTGTAACGATTCCAAAGTCGTGAGATTGTTGTTTTGTGTACGTTTAGATGACGGGCAACTGTTCCAAAGCTTTCCCCGGCCTCAATGCGACCAATGGCAATATTTCGATTTGCTGTACTCAAACGGGGCATTTTCGAACTTGATTTGCAGAGCAAATTATGAGAGAAAAATTACAAACTACGCGTGCTTTTAAAACCCTCTACATGAACTGTGTTTTCAACGATTTGCACGTGCAACAGGCTTTTAGCATTTTGTACATGACAATTTCGCACTTTCTCAAATAACACGGATACAAAGGTCATCATGTGTGAAAATGGTTCCGTTTGGGAGCTATACTGATCAGATGGGAACGTATTAACAGTATTTTGAAGAAAATTCTAATTTACATTCACCATCTTTATTCTAGAAATGATGTCAGATATTTAGATAGGGGTTGCGTTTCTTTTTTTGAGAGAGTGTACATTTCAGCAATGTCACAAACCAAAGCTATTTGGTTTTTGCGGAATCTAAGTAATATCTCAAACAAGTCGCCCTGAACTTTCGGACCCTGGTGTATGATATCATTGAGCGAAGTACCCTGACTTTGGTTGTACTTCTGTCCGGTCATATCACAGGAAAATATGGTAAGAACCACTGACTGTCGGAGGTGTCTTCATTTGCAGAGACAATCTGAATATATCCCTTATCAAGGTAGTCTGAAATATACTAAGCAGCAAAAGAAACGTCAGTTTGGAATTTTCCTTCGCGAAACGGATAACTGTAAACACATTTAATGTTTTGATTGCATTTTTTTGACAACATCTCCAACTTTACCTGAGCAAAGACAATCCTTCCCAAACTCAGAATGGAGCCCAGGAAATAGTCGCAAAAACGCAACCTGATCTCGGAGATGGTACGGTGTTCTCCATGTTTTTCATGCAACTCATGCTGCACGTGCTGTTCACAAGGACCAGCCCTATAAAATGCACCCCCAAACCTGGTTGAAACATTCACATTACAACGTCAGCAGGATGCAGCGACTCACGACAGCGCAGAGGAACCAGGCGCTAGGAAGACTAGAAGGTCAACGTTCGGACCATCTACAGGCTGCAGCAACGTTTCTGGGCCACCAACACCATAAATGATCGCCCCCGTACTGACAAACCAAGGGTGACCACAAGACAACAAGACCGTCATGTTGTGCGACAGCATGTACAGAATCATGCAGGCATCCGAAACAGCACGCCAGACAGTGGGAACACACGGAAAACCAATCAGTACTGATACAGTACGCAGACGTCTTAACAGCGGGAACCTCCATTGCCGTAGACCTTACCGTGGACCTATCCTCACCCCTCGTCATCGGCGTGAACGTCTACAGTTTTCCCTACAACACCAAAACTGGCGATAGAGGCAATGGAGAACTGTTCTGTTCACAGATGAGAGTCGGTACTGCGTATCAACTGCAGATGGCAGAACAAGAACATGGCAACGACGTGGCCAGCGTTACTCCAATGTGTTATTGAAAGAGACTCATGGGGAGGTGCAAGCACCATGGTATGGGGTGGAATAGGCCTGAACCAGAGAGAGGATCCTGTGGTGTTCAAGAACCTTGGACCAGGGAGAGGAGGTGGCATCATAGCGGTGCACGTCACCGGAACAACATTTTCCAGCATGATAACGCCCGGTCCCATACTGCCAGAGCTACACGGGACTTCCTACAGCACAACGGTGTCAACATAATTAAGTGGCCAGTCCTTAGTCCCGATTTAAACCACATTGAACATCTTTGGGATTAAATTCAGAGGAGACTGAATAATGGCATACCAAAGCCGAACACAGCCGATTTATTGCGCCAGGCCTTTCACAGAGCGTGGTTCCTGGTGCCAATGGCCTTCATCAATCGATTGTTGCACTCCATGCATAGACGCTGTGCTGCAGTTATTGCCGCTCGTGGTGGCCACACTAGATACTGAAGTCAAGAGTCTGAATGAACTGCAAACGTTCATGTAACGAGTTATTTATTGGTGTGTCAGGATATTGTA